CTAATGTTTGTTAAACAAGTTTAAATATAGGCAATATGTATAGCCTATTAAAAAAACGATATAAAACAATGCTGTAAATGATAAATAAAGGAAAATAAAGGAAGTTATCATGCAAACCAGTGGTTGTGTGGAGTATTTTAGAAAAGTTTAGAGGATTTAAGTTAATCTGTAAACCTTACTTAATGTATGAAGTAAAAAATAAGCTAGTAATATAGTAAACATGAATAAACCCATTAGCTGGGTTAAATCAACCCATTATGCTGGGTTAAATAAACAACCCAATTTGCTGGGTAAATTTAACCCAAGATGGGTTCTGTCCTATATTTATCCAGCCCTTGGGTTAATAACAACCCAAATTGGGTTGTTTTTAACCCAGTGTTTTTTAGAGTGTACTTACACTATTACATACCTTGGGTCGCTAGCGACCCTATACACTTTTTACAAAAAATAAATCAGAAAACAGACAATCTTTTATATTTTATTATTCTTTCTTGTTATATTGTTTATAATGAATAGATTGAGGAATAGTAAGAAAGTTTATGTCTAACTTTCAAAAATGAAGGAGGGAGAGAGTAATGAATGATGTCCCAGGTTGCTAAAGACCCAAGGTATGCATTTAAGGGTTAATGGGACAGTTCACCAAAAAAAAAAATTTTATTAAATTGTCATTATTTACTCACCCTCGTGTCGTTCCAAACCAGTATGAGTTTAGGGGGCAATTGTGGCCATTAGAGAGTTGGACTTGTAACCTGAAGGTCGCAGGTTCGAGTCTCGGTACCAGCAGGAAATGTAGGTAGGGGGAGTGAATGACCAGCACTCTCTTCCACCCTCAATACCTACAACTGAGGTGCTATCTTTGAATGCTTTCTCTGGTCAGAAGCAGACTGACTGTTTCAGATTTGTTGGTGCTGTCAATGGCATGATATGGAATATGAGATTGCTTCACACACTTTAACAAATCTCAGTTCTTTGATTATGAACTTTACAAACTTGCCCAAAATAAATGAGCAAGAAACAAGGCCAATTATGGCAGTTTCATCTTTGCTAATGAATGGCTGCTTAGCTCTGGTGCTCCAGCAATGAGAAATCATTAATATTCAATAAAAAATAAGCAGAAAGCCTCAACATCCACTTTGTTCCTCTAACAACATCTTCATGCTATATTCAATGAGAAATGGTTATAATTTCTAGAGAATCTATTTTAGTTGTAAACATGTGAAAAAATCATGACTCACATGATATATTTAAAATCCACCCGTAGATGTGGAAAGGAGGTTTTCGTTGCCCTGGGCATCAGTGAACAGCTCAAGCTGTCAGCAAGAGTGAAGGAGACTACCCTTTAATCTTAATAGAAGAAGGCCTCTCTTCCTCCCTCCTGCCTATCTCTCTCAGGGCGTCTGAAGGGAATTACATATCGGCCTTGGCAAAGACAGCCTGTAGATTCACCAAAGATTCAGCAAGCACTGGCTGGAGAGCTGGAGTGTTTGGAGGCTTCAGAATGAAACAGCCCAGCCACTCCCTCCTCAGAGATATCAGCACGATTTGAGGCATTTATGCCTGAGCCGTAGGGATGGTCCCATGACAGGCCCCTCGCTCTGATACACTTGACTGCAGATGACTCACTCACCTCACTGTTCCTCTACCAAAAACACTCTACCTCTCTCAGCAGCCCTTCTTTTTTTAGTCTCGCTCCATTTTTCCATCTTCCTGTGTCATCTGAAGGATTACTGAAAAAAATGAGATGAGAGATTATAAATAAAATCAATGCTATAAGCTGCATTAATAACGTCTGTGTGTGTTTGTGCACTGATTGTGTGTAGTGACAAGCACCGGATTTGGCTGTTAGGACCCTAGTCCTTGGGTGTGTGTGTAAGAGAGAGAGAGAGAGAAGAAGATAGAAGTAATATTGATTTCAGTAAAGTCACTAAAATAGGACGCATAAAATACCTTGCACACAGAAATATTGTGTAGAATATTCTGTTTCAATTGCACTGAACTATTTTCATTTATATTTTTAGTATGGAATGAGTTGTTTATTTCTAATCAACATTTCTCACACCTTGGATCATTTTTTTCACTGGGTTTGACACAATGCATTCTTGGAATGTCTGGAATTAGAGCTGAATTTGGTCAGTATTATTGATATACAGTATATAAACAGAGATAGACAGACACATAGATACTGTAATCAGGTTATGGGTGGCATCTGTCGGTGCAGTGTGAATTAGCCTATAGATAGACAGGCAGACAGATAGACAGAATTAATTATAATTTTAGGACATTTTAAATTTGCAGACAGAAAAACAGGAATCGTGATATGGCCTAATGTGATTATTAAAATTCAAAAAGCTATGATTTAATTACATTAATGTGAGTGCTACACATTCAAAGTCAAAACGTGGCACTGTTGTGGATGGTTGTAAGAGTGCATATTATATCTCCCTCATCTTTTTTAGTGAGCAGCTGAAAGTAGTAAAGCATAGACACTGGTTTATATTTAAATGTTCTGTATTATGCATAACCTTTTGGTATTTTGGTTGCACAATAAACTATCTTGGTTTTAATGCATTGTAAACTTTTGTGGCTTCTCTCTGGTCTGCCCTGTAACAGGAAGAAAAGATTAAACATATTATTTAACACCTTCAGTATATACATTTTACTAGTATCAGCACAATAATCAAATAAATATTCTGGGATGGTTTTTTTTGTTTTTTTTTACAAAAGATTATATAGGTTTGATCTGTGTGTACGTACAGTATTTATTTTAATTGTGCAAGTTTTAAAAAGGTCTTAAAGTCTTAAATTTGATTTTAAAAACTCTTTAGATACCGTAGACGGATAGACAGATATTGGATTTTGTCAGTACTATAATACTGTGTTTAAAGAAAAGCAATAAATTGGTTATTTTGCCAATTATAGTAATATATACTGAATTATATAGTGAATGTTAAATAATGTTCTTAGTCTGTCCTCCTTGTGGCAGCACGGTCCAGGGAGGAACCATGAGATTTTATACTAAAATATATGTTACATAAAAAAAAAAAAAGCATAATACAGAACTTTTATTATAAACAAGCTCGAAATACACTAGGTCTCTTATTGGAGACCAATGGACGGATGGATGGATGGGTAGATTGATTGATTGATTGATGCAATTAAAGGTGCAATAGGTGATTGTCTTCAGAAAATTTTTTTGTTATGCTGGTTGAAAGTCTCTTCACATCCCGATACGTTCGGTCCGAGCGTTTTAATATGCTTTCCTACCTGCCTGTCAGCGTATGTATTAGCATACCTCTGCGCACCCAGTTCGCGCAGACAGGATACTCATCAGCGCGTTCACGCACGCTGTGCAGACAGAGCGAGGAAGGCAGGCAAACATCAACAAGCCGATCTTCCTTCCTGGTATTGTAGTACTTTTAAAGATTTCTCACCGGTGAATGACACATGATGTAGCCCAGCGGTTAATCCAGTCCTCGCGCCAGCTCGTTAGAAGTGAGCTACGTGCATGAACTGTGTTCCGATCGATATGATCCCTACACAGAGTTCATTGCTCCCTACTCCCTGAGCAGGGGAAATCCATTGAAGTTTACTTCACTTCGGAACATGGGCTGGAATTGGGAACCTGATAGCCTATTGTAGTAATGTTGTCTCTGGTCTGTGAGAGTAAATGCGTTCAGGGGGCGTGGCTTTGGACGGCGATTGCAGGAAGGGTGGGACGTTCGCTTTCAGTGCTATCAGGCTAAAGTTAGCATTTTCCGAGATCTCCTATTGCACCTTTAACTGCGCATTTAAACATACTGATTGTCTTTAAAACATCACATTAAAAATGATCTGACGATCACAAATAAAGAATAAAGGTAAAAATAAATGCATATTATAAGACAATGAAAGTGTTTTTGACCTTGCATGCATGTCAACCTGTTGTTGGGGACTCCCAAAACCAAAATATTAACCTTTCATAACCCATAATAGGGACACTTTAAATGGTATGTATTATTATGCATAACTTTTTGGTATTTTGGTGGCACAATAAACTATGTCTGGCTTTTAATTCAATGTAAATTTTAGTTGTTTCTCTCTGGTTTGCCCTGTCACAAGAAGGAAAGATTTAAAAACATTTAACACATTCAGCATATATATTTTACTAGTATCAGCACAATATCAAATAAATAATCTGGGATGTGTTTTTTTGTTTGTTTGTTTTTTCAGAAGATTGTATAGGTTTGACCTGTGTTTACATACAGTATTTATTTTATTTATGCAGGTCTTAAAAAGTCTTAAATTTGATTTTAAAAACTATTCAGATACTGTAGACAGACAGATATTGGATTTTGCCAATACTGTAATACTATGGTTAAAGAAATGCAATAAACTGGTTATTTTTCCAATTATATGTTAAATAATGTTTTTAGTCTATCCTCCTTGTGGCCGGGTGGTCCAGGGAGGAACTATGAGAGTTTATATTGAATATATGTTACAAAAAATAAAAATCATAATACAGAACTTTTAATTATAACCAGCTCGAAATACACCAAGTCTCTTATTTGGATGGACCGATGGATGGATGGATGCAATTGCAACCAAGTTAGCACTACTAATCTAAATCAAACATTTGAAACCTTGGGATCAAAAAGCCAAAACTCCTCATCTATCCTCATCAAACTATCAAAGATACAAAACAGAGACTTATCCTCACCAAGTACAGACTCAGTCATCATAATCCTGCCATTGAAAGAGAGAGAGGGAGACTAAAGTGTGCAAGGAAAGAGCAGCTGGACAGCCCACAGGCCATGCTGGAAAAGTTTAGATAACAGAGAAACCACATGGCTCTTACAAATCAATAAGACATATCCCCTCACTCAACAAGATAAACACACTCACACACATACAGAGGCTACCATCCAAACAACCTGAATTTTTAAGGAAATCTCAACCCTTCGGTTTGACTCACTCTCAAAGCCATTATTACTTGATTTGCTATTGGAAATCTTTGATGTGTGTGTGTGTGTGTTGTTGACGCAGTGCATTTGCAGTGTGTGTGTATGCCTAGAGAATGTGAGAGGTGACATTAAATATTCATGCTCTCAAGACACATTAGCCTTTATGACCACTACAGACGGTCATATTGGAGAGCGTGTGTGTGTGTGTGTGGGTGTGTGAGCATTACCGGTGCTTCACAATAAATACATCTCAATATCATTGTGCCTGTTTGTTTTTATCTCATTTATCTAAATTAGTATGCATTACAGATCTCAATTAGCAATGGCAAACAATCAAAGCTGCCCTTGAGTTGACTCCATGCCACAGTTCAATTCAGTCAACGTCTCTATTTAAAACAGATATCTTTATCTCATATTTGTAGTCAGTTCACATTATTCCTGTAGTGCCAGAATACAAAACGGCTCCATACATCACTAAAGCTCACGGGCAGGGTGAAATATCAAAAAGGAAAGTTGAAGAAAAAACACACACACACAAAAATAATGACAGATTTATAATTATACTGTCATCTGTTTGCTGCAGCAAGAAGTGACTGGGGACGGCAGTTTAATTGTCATTTCTACTCAACATGTTCCTGCAGTGGCACACAGACAACACATATAGACTTTAGAGAGAAACTATAGCAGAAAAGCCTGAATGTTGAAGATACAGACCATAAATTCTTGTCAACTCCTTTGAGAAATATTAATATACCAAATACACTCACAGAACATTACTCAATGAAGACTAGATGACAGGTTTTCGATTCTCTCAGGCAGACATGAATGACCGATTCACACACGAATGCAAAGGTTGCGTGTGTTCCCGGCTGCAAATGTCAGAAACTTTGTCCAGGACTCAATGCGTCTTTGTCTCCTACTCAGAAGTGTATCACCTTTCATCTGCACATACGCACATAAGCGCTCATTACCGTCGTTATGAAGGCATTTGAATAAGAGCAGCCATTAAAACGGGCAAAGGAACTTCAAAGTGTCGGAACTCATCATCCTCGTTTGAAACGGAGCGTTGTATTATTCTCCACTGATGTGTTGGCAGTGCTTTGGTTGCTAAGCCAGTCTTCTGTGCTAGTCATTAAGCCCCTGAGATGATAGACTCAAGAATGTGCTATAGATTGAAAATCACTGCAGCATCCAGTTCGATCCAATCCACATTCATTCTTGAGCTTTCCCTTCTAGCTTAACGCTGATACGAGAAGATGAAAAACAGACTTTACTCATTACATTTGCAATCTTGACACCCTTATAAACATTTATAGAGTAGTCACATCATAAAAACGTTGTTGATGTTGGTGTTAATCTGTTTCTAATGGTAATTCATCCAGCCTCAAGCCAAATGGGCAATTATGAATGTCAGTTAATGTTTATGCGAGGTTGCAGTTCCCGCTGATGCAGACCTTTTGTAAAGGGGCCAGTATTTTTTACCATTGTAATCTGTGTATGTTGCAGGGCCGTAGTTGCGCAGGACGCCTGTGAAAATGCTGAGCTTAACACACTCATACATGATGGAGAGGTGTACATTAAATCCATAATGTTCACCCTTTGCAGAACTGGCTCTTACAAAAGCAATGTTCTTGTAGGCATAAAAACAAGTGTTCGTGTGATTGATTGAATCTTCCAGCAACAGAATAAACTAAATAGTTCAAACTGTCCTTTCCTGGAAGTATGTCGTTTGTGGGACAAAATTTGCTGTGTAGATGTTATTTATATTTTTCTTTGTTGTGTTGTATACTTTTTATAATAAAAAAAAAAAGCAATAACTGTTTTCAACATTGATAATAATAAGAAATGTTTCTTCAGCTCTTAATCAGCATATTAGAATGATTTCTGAGGGATCGTATCATATTTTTTATTAATATATTAATATTTGTATTTAAAATATTTCACAATATTATTTTTACAGTATTTTTGATCAAATAAATGCAGCCTTTATCACCATAAGAGACTTATCATTAAAAAAAAAACATTAAAAAAGTAAAAATCTTTCCGAACCCAAACGTTTGAATGATAGAATAGCATAAGTTAATTTACTGCATGCCATAAACAGTTTGATAGATTTTTTGATTATTCTTAAAATCTATATTTAATGTGATGTTTTAAAAAGATGGTGTACCACAAAATAACGTCTTTCTATTAAGTTTTCCTCACAGACTGCATGCAAAAACAAACCAATGTGTCTAGTGCAGTTTGATTCAAACTGATGAGCTGCCTCTTTTTAGTGAATCAAAACATACAGCGTAATCAGTGTAAGCCAGTTCACAAAACGAGTGACTCTTATGAGCCTATTCTTTTAATAAATAGTTCAAAAAGAGTTATTGCTTTGAATCAATCTAAAACACTGTCCTTTATAATCACATGTACACAAAATTGACATCATAACCCAAATGAATCTGTTTTGTGAATCAGAATTGAATCAGTAAATCTACATTGTTTCCCATCCCTAGAGCTGTGATGTAGAGCCTAGATTGAGCCCCACTGTTCATTTGGCTGACCAGCCTTCTAATCTGCTTTGTTACATTTCTCGACTCTGTTTCCTTCTCTTCTCCCCATCATTTCCTTTCCTTTTTCACCTAATATATTAATAAAATCTGGTAAAGGGCCAAAAAAAAGTTGCATTATTTCCAAAGAGGCCCTGAAAAATATTAATTGAATAGTGAAATGTTTACATCAATATCAGAAGTGAAACCCCAAATCCCCAGTTTGCATGTCTGAAGAGTTATTCATAGCTGACAGCTTGATCAAACAAGGTGTGACGCTTGTTTAATGATCTTTTTCACGGTCTTTGATTTGTCAGTAATTGGCATTTACTATGCGGTTTCTCACAACACAGGTGCGTCTGTAACATCGACTGCTCCCACATCAGTTTTAACCCCGTGTGTGCATCAGACGGCCGTTCCTATGACAACCCCTGCCAGGTAAAAGAGGTGTCGTGTCAGCGGCAGGAACGAATCGAGGTCAAGTTCCTTGGTCACTGTCAGGGTAAGAAGAGCAGATTAACAAACATTTATGATTGCTTTATATCATTTTGTTACATGACGTCTTCTTCCATTCAATTTGCATTTTTATAAGACAACAACAGAGAACACGTGTAAAGATGAACATTATAAATCACTGTTACATAATCAAGTTCATTCATGTTCATATGATCATTAGTCTCTGGAATATAGCAATTTCCCAGATGATATCTTCAAAATGACAATGTACAAATGAGGGGGGGGGGGAGGGTTGTATTATGTAAACAGCAGATCTGTTCATTTTATCATTTTAACATCTGCATTCATTCCTATCTTGTAGGCGACATGATTACAGGCACCAAAGCAGGAGATGGACAATATGCCAGGACAGACTACACAGGTGGGTGGGTGTTTGATTATAAAAAGTTGATTTTAATTTTGAAGTGCCCGTGAATTTGAGCTGTTCTGACCCACTGTGTTTGAATTATAGAGGAGAAGCCTGAGGTTTCAGAGGTGGCAAGAGGGCTGTACATCCCCTGCCCTGAGCGCTATAAGAACTATTGTGTTCACGGAGACTGTGAATATCCCAACATGCTCTCAACACCGTCCTGCAGGTACACACACACACTCATGATGTTTCTGATTACGGCAGCGTATCCTGTCTACAAAAATACATTGGGAATAAGTGTGTGTGTTAGACATACACCTTTTATGATAGTGAATGTAACACTGTATCACAGATCCTTGTCTCCCCCTAGTGTTCAAACCAAGAAAGATCTGCCTCATTAAAAAAAAAAAACAGTTTTCCAAACACTCCCCTTTTTTCAGTGTTATTTTAGTATCATTGACATATTATTATAGTTTTTATTAGCTGTTTGAATTTGTTTGTATGCTTTCCATTTTCGTTTTTAAGTTTTAGTAATTTTGTTTTGTATTTTTTGTTTATGTCTGTATAGTTTTTATTAGTTTTAATTATGGTTTTAGTTATTTTAGTGCTTTATTTAGTTAAATTTGGTTAAACTAAATGAAAATGGGGTATGTTTTCTTGGCAACTAGCAGAAGTAAAATATGTTTAAGTTTTATGGTTTGAGCTTTAGTTAACAATATTAACCTTGGTCTTTCATTGGTAGTACAAACAGATGGTGCTGTCACCAAAAATAAAAAATAAACTCCAAATGTCATTGTTTGATTGTTACATGTTTTAAGGAATTCAATCTACAAGTCATTTCTACAGATTAAACTGGGACAGAAGAAGGTATTAAACAGGAATACTGCACACATCAGCTTATAAAAAATAATTGGCTGTTCAAGTTGTGAAACTCATATTTAACAGTCACAGATAAACAAAAGAAAAGGAACTAGAGAGAAATAATAAGACAGAACAGGAGAGTCTCTCTGGCAGGTGCTGCAGTACAACAGCAGGTGTTTCTAAGGAAAGACTTTGAGAGCGAGAAACACTGAAGTATGTGTGTGAACAGAGATATTACAGAGAGTAGACTCTTTAAAACAACCTGAATAAATCAACAGAGGACTCAAGCACACACATCTAATCTAATAAGGATATAACGTGTTTCTATGTGTTTCTTCCTCTTTTCTTCAGCTGTCACTCAGGATTCAGTGGTCCACAGTGTGACACTAAGGAGTATAATGTGCTGTATGTGGTGCCAGGCTCTGGAAAGCTCCGCTACGTCCTCATCGCGTCTGTCATTGGGATTCTGCAGGTGGCCATCATATGTGTAGTGGTGCTGTGTATCACCCGGTGAGTATAAACACACACCACAGCATTATATCACACACGATGTGCTACTGCGAAACAAAGCAGAGGACAGCTACCTCCTGGGTAGATAGATCGCACACACTCGCAGCTCTTCATAGAGTGAGAGTTCCTGCCAGCAGGAGTCTGCAGAATAACACACTTTACACTCCATGAAAGGTCATTGTTGAAGGGTGTGTGTGCACTAGCAGCACTAAATTACTCACCCATCTCCTGTAATATTTACTTTACACATCAGAAAAGTAAATGTGTTCAATATGTTCAATCATTGTTCATTTAGCTTCATTGTCAGTATTCATTTATGTATTCTTTTCTCCAGTGAAAGAAACAGCCCCTTTAGGGCAAAGATTCTGTAAACTGTTTCAAGTCATATCAGCATGAAACATTCTTTTAAAAACTTCCAATCCAAACTCTAAATAAGTAGCTATTTTTTATAGCAAAGGCTTTTTTTAAGCTCTGAAATATGAGTTTTTTCCTTCCAGGCATTGTTTTGATTAGAAATAATGTAGTGCTGCGTGGTGGAAGCAAGTTATATGAATGATAAGGATGTCCTTTTGCTTCCTTCCTCTGCAGGAAGTGCCCACGGACCAACAGAATCAACCGACAGAAGCAGAACACAATGCACTACAACTCTGAAAACACCCTGCGCGCCTCCACCCGCCTCATTTGAGCCCGTGAGCAGAGAATCATGGGAAACGTAGTTTGGACAAAGGACAGAACATAAGAAACTTGCTCTCCGTCCCCACAGAGACACTGCATCCTGCTGGATGATGGGATGGAGGGATGGAGGACGATGGTGCAGATATATCGGAGGACGATGGGTTCTACACACGATGCCTTGCACCTGTGGCACAGGACACACACAGAGAATTTTAGGACACCATGATAGGACAAGTTCTGTAATTTGGTTATGTATGGGTAATATTTCCAATAGTTAATTTGTTTGTCTTGATGGGGTCCTTTTTCTGTAATGTAAATAAATAATTTATATCACAAAGCACAGTGTGTTTTTTTCTTTTTCCTTATTCTTTTGTGGATGCCATGACTTTTAAAGGATCTAACTTGAAGGTATATGGTCAGTTTCAGGGGTTTCTAGAGAGGTGATTCAACAATTTATTATAAATAAAGATTTATTTTGCTGTTTTTAATGTTTGGTGTCCCAGAGACCCCAATCATGTAAATTATAGTTTAAAAGTTTGATATCAGCAACATTTACAAAATAAATAAATAAATAAAAAGATATTCAGAAAGGACACATTAAATTGTGACAGTAAATACATTTCTAATGTTACAAAGCTTGTATTTAAAATAATGTTGTTCTTTTGAATTCTTTGTTCATTAAAGAATCCTGTAAAAATATGTCACAGTTTCCACAAACATATTAAGCAGTGCAACTATTTTCAGCATTGATAATATTAAGAAATGTTTCTGAATTTCTAAATGTTTCTGATTTCTGAAGGATCATTTGACACTAAAGGCTGCTTTGCCAACAGAGGAATAAATTACATTTTAAAACAGAGAATGGTTATTTAAATTTTTTATAATATTACAAAATATAACTCTTTTTACTGTATTTTTGATTAAATAAATGTAGCCTTGGTGAGCATAAGATGTTTCATTTAAAAAAATAATAGGGGTAAATTTCAAAATTATTATTATTTTCCTCTCAAAAAAGGCTGTTATCCAATATCATTTTAATTATCTTTGTTTTCTTTTGTGGTCATTTTTACCCCAGCAAAAACAGAAAAGGCAGAAAAAAAACAGGGGAAAAAAGACAAATGCACATTAATAGTGTAGCTTCAAACAAAACTAGTAATTACAAATGATACTGTCAGTAACTAAGTTATTTTTAAAAAAAAACAAAAAAAACAGGAGAGATAGAGAGAATATACTGACCTTTAAAGGTCATGTGGAGGACGGGGCCCTTTAGGACTAAGGAATTCCGGACCTTCCTTGTCTGCAGAAGTTCTTCCTACTTCATCCCCAGACCAGTCCAGTGGAGTCCCTACACTTCCTGTCTGACAGTCAGTGTGCCACAGGGGTAAGAGAGAGCCTTAATGAAAATGAGTATACATTTGTATGTTTGTGTTCTGCTTCCACTAAGCAGACCCTTTATTCTCAGGCTCAATGCAGGATGGAATTGTAGCCCTGGTGACACTGTGATGCAGTAAAGACTATGAATTTGGTATATGATTTTCACTTTGCTTTCTTGGTAGACTAATAGAGCTCCAGTCAAACAGGACTAAAGTGAAAGAAGAGGTACATAGTAGACATACTTTGCATTCTCAGCAATGCTGAATCAGTTGCAGTGAAGACAGCACTTATCTGATCCATTCCAACACCTTCATAAGTCTTAACACAAGTTTACAATCAATACATTTGCTTTTAGTTGAATGCCATTGTTTCATTGTATCTCAGTCTCAACCAGAACCATTACAAGCTTTTGAACCAAACCAGAAATGTATTCCTTTTTACTTATATTACACTGGATGTCATTCAACACACAGTAGCCATTTAACAGTGATTCATTTTTTTTAGCTATACCCTGACCTGGCTGGGAAGCACTGCTTTAAAATATATAAATAAAAAATTAAATAATTTTTTTTTACACTTGTGACATTCTTGAAGCTCTTCACAAAATAAATTTATTAATAAAGCAAGGGAATGGCATTTAATATGGGTGGCTAAGAGGGCTTTGAAAAAATACTGTTCTTCAGGGCCATCGAGATTTGAGGGAAAATTGTCAAATTATCTCTCAATTTTTTTCCATCTACTGCTTTTTTCATCACTGGTCAAAAGGTCCTAGAGGCAAGAGAAAGAAATCTGTCTGCTATCATTCAGCTAATGAAGACTGAAGTCTTTTTCGTTTTCATTACTGTGATGCCACAAGCGCAATCTCTCACAGGCACCGAACAATTTGCATTCACCTAAGAGTCAAACTGAAGAACCTGTTACAAGCGAAGCCATCCAAGTTTTTAACAAAGGTAGCAATTATATATATCACAGGCATAACTTTAGTGTGCTTTGCAGTGACATGTCTTTGCATACTCAGGAATTTTCCCATGAAGCTGAAACACAAATCATGCAACGCTATTTGAGTGACATCTCAATAACAGTCACGAATAATATGAAACTAATAAGAAAGACGATTAAGATTAAGAAAGACTATAGAAAGACAACTCTCATTACACAGAATCAACAACTGGGTGTTTTTACGTAACTGACAGGAAACTACACATTACTGAGATGTTTTACAGTATCATACTATCCAGCTGCAGCATGCATTCATTTAAGTGCATTAATTTACTGAAACATTGTCACATGTGGTCCAAAAATATAATAATTTGTCCCTATTATGCACTTATTTTCTTTGCTTTCATGTTTTGTGGTTTGTAGTCTCGACTGGGTTTTTGAAATACCAATGCTAAACCGAAAGTTTGTTTATTTATTTAATTGTATTTATTATATTTATTTTTTAGTGCAGTGAGTACCTTCTACCTGCAGAGGTCAGGCCTCACTGCACTATGCAATGGCTGATTATGGAAGAGCTTAAGCCTTAAGAAATTAGAAAGCTTTTTTAATGGGATAATTCACCAAAAAAAAAAGTGAATTCTATTGTCATTTATTCACCTTCATGTCAGTCCAAACCTGTATGACTGACTTTCTTTTATGGAACATAAAAGAAGATATGTTGAGAAATGTCTCAGTGTTTTTTGTCCATACAGTGGAAGTCAATGGTCACCAAAAAATTTTTGGTTTCCAACATTCTTCAACATATCTTTTAAGTCTTACAGGTTTGGAACGATGTGAGGGCAAGTAAATGTTTTTGGGTGAACTATCCCTTTAAGTATATGATTTGTTTTGGCCTGACCTATCTGTTGATATCCATGTGTGGATGTGGGGTCACTTGGGTGATGCTTTTTGATTTGTATCTATAGTCTGAGGCTGAGCACACGACAGGAGAAGACACATACCCCACCAAACTACAACATAGGAAACATTAGCAGTGGTTTTCTGTGCTTATGTATGTGCATGCAGGCAGCCTGAGCCTAGGAGAGGGAGGTAATCGCCTCAGTCTCAGGAAATGAACGGATATGGGAGATAAAGTTTATTTTATGTTATATTCTTGTCCTTGTCCTTTGATAACACTCCCAAACAGATATCTAAGTTATGCATGTTATTCTGTGCTAATGATTGTCATTATCCAGAAAATGACCTCTGGTCAGCTTGTTTATCTTTGATATGAGCACCACACCAGATTTCCAGGTGATGTGTTTACTTTCATGGTCACGGATCTATGAATGAGGTAGTGTCTTTCCTTCTCTTTGTTCATTCAGACTATTGAGCAAGAGTCAATACATTGTTAACATTCATTCTGACATGGGTTTATTACCTCGAATAAATCATAAGACGTAATTTACGCACTTTATTTCATTTTGAATGCACTTCAGTTTATGATTATGATTACTGTGAGCTGTCTGCTGGATGTCCTTTGTTTACTGTATTTCCACCCTGTACAATTAGCATCAAAGTTATTGTAAAATATGTTGCTTGTTCTCTCTGTGAATAATGTGATGAGAGTTTTTTTTTTTCATTTCAGTTTGTTTATTTTATTTTATTTTATTTAAGCTTATGGTTTTCATTTTAGTTAACTGTAATAACCCTGGTCTAAGCTGATCTTTTCCATATGATAAAAGTGAATGATTACCATATTTTAAAAGAGAAAATGACCTCTGGTCAGCTTGTTTATCTTTGATATGAGCACCACACCAGATTTCCAGGTGATGTGTTTACTTTCATGGTCACGGATCTATGAATGAGGTAGTGTCTTTCCTTCTCTTTGTTCATTCAGACTATTGAGCAAGAGTCAATACATTGTTAACATTCAAAGTCTGACATGGGTTTATTACCTCGAATAAATCATAAGACGTAATTTACGCACTTTATTTCATTTTTAATGCACTTCAGTTTATGATTATGATTACTGTGAGCTGTCTGCTGGATGTCCTTTGTTTACTGTATTTCCACCCTGTACAATTAGCATCAAAGTTATTGTAAAATATGTTGCTTGTTCTCTCTGTGAATAATGTGATGAGAGTTTTTTTTTTTCATTTCAGTTTGTTTATTTTATTTTATTTTATTTAAGCTTATGGTTTTCATTTTAGTTAACTGTAATAACCCTGGTCTAAGCTGATCTTTTCCATATGATAAAAGTGAATGATTACCATATTTTAAAAGCTTGACGGCCTCTGGTCTCCATCCAGTTTCAGTGTATGGAAAAGAGCGGCATGGACATCCTTCAAAACATCTCTTTTTGTGTCATATAGTTTTGAACAATATGAGGGGATGAGAGCAGATGATGACAGAATTTTATTTTTTGGACAAGTTATCCCTTAAACATGGCTTTCATGCAGTCAGTGTGTGTGTGTGTGTGTGTGTGTGTGTGTGTGAAAAGAGCGGCATGGACATCCTTCAAAACATCTCTTTTTGTGTCATATAGTTTTGAACAATATGAGGGGATGAGAGCAGATGATGACAGAATTTTATTTTTTGGACAAGTTATCCCTTAAACATGGCTTTCATGCAGTGTGTGTGTGTGTGTGTGTGTGGGGTTTGAGTCTGGCATGGTGCCACTGCCACAGATGAGCTGAGTTCACTGTTCAAACACTGATTTTCATTTTTCCCTGTGTGACATTTCCCCAGTCTGCCAGACAGCTAAGAAGAGAAACGCCAGCAGAGATTCATGAAGAGACGTTCAGGTGCATTTACACAGACACACCAACATTTCCCTGACACAAACATTCCTGTTGCTGGTGTTTCTGAATCTGACATTTCATACATATGACAAACAAACATTTTCAAAACCATTACTGATAGCAAATTCAAGCTGATCAAACAATACTGAAATTGCATCGAGGGAAAATGCACACCTGCAGTAGCATACTTTCACACTGACACTCTTTACTCACATTACTCTAAAGGGCTGAGCTAAATACCACGGCAACCAGGCCCCTCCCCTGGGTGTGTGGGGAGTTTTTAAGTGGAGTGTTGGGAATGTTGTTTTTAGAGAGGCGCAGAAGGCAGGAGAGTGTCTGTGAGAGTCAATCTAACCCTGTCATTCAAAACCACCAGTGTTGACTCCAGGATGGGTGAAGACTCCTCTCACGCAGAGCGAAGCACAGCTACCTTACCCAGGGAGGAAAGCACCCCGACACCACCAGTTCCAGATGCTCAGGATGCTCAGGATCTCCTCATTCCGAGCTTCAGTCCCGGCTCGGTGCCCTCTTCCCCCATCCATACCCTTTCCCGTCTGGGCTCTAAGTCCCCGACCATCCCCACAGCCCCTGCCGGCCAGGTCAGCGCCATCACGGTGGTGGCTCTGCTCGACAAGCTGATGGTGATGATCGAGACAGTGCAGGAGAACCAGCAGAGGATGGAGAAGAAGCAGGCCGAGCTGGAGGGGGCGGTGAGGATGGTGCAGGGTGATGTGACCCGGCTCACCAAGAACCACATGTCCACAGCCAACAGCGTGGCCAAGCTGCTGGAGCGCTCGCGCAAGACTGGCCTCAATGTGAAGGAGGTGAGGGAGCGCCTGGATAGACAGAGCAGCCAGGTGAAGCATCTGGAGGCCAACCATGCCCATCTGCTGAAGAGGAACCACTTTAAAGTGCTCATCTTTCAGGTGAGAAGAATGAGATCTTTCTACTCTTAACGAATCTTTAAAGCCTTGAAGATGAACACATGTAAATATGCGTCTGAATGTGATTTTTTCACACCTGAGGAACCTTTAAAAGACAAAAATAATGTAAATATGTGGAGAGTCTAAGACTTTAACATGGTCATTCAAAATGATTCATTTTTCAAAGACATTTGAATGATAGTGTATCAGGGTTTCCACGATCTGTTTTTTCTAGCATTGATAATAATAAGAAATATTTCTTGATCACCAAATCAGCATATTATAATTATTTCTAAAGGATCATGTGGCACTGAAGACTCAACACTGAAGTGTAAAAACAGTTACACACACATATACATAAATACATAATAGAAATATGTGTCTGAACGAGGGTTTTCTACACTTGAGGAAACTTTAATGGTTAAAAAAATCTGTTTGTCTGTCATATAGCAAACAAAACAGTTTTAAAGTAATAGTTTCATTTTAACACATGCTTTGTAATTCTTCCTTTGATACAGGCATTTTGCATTTTAGTTTTGTATTTTTTTATTTATTTAGAGGAGTAGATGCACTGAGTTTTAAATATTTTGCAAAGGTATGTACAAAATAGCAGCCGAAAAAGGTTAGATTTAATGGGTTTAAGTGATGTTTGACAGGACACGTGTGCAGTATCTTCAATGAAACTAAAGTGCATGGGAATTCTTCCTGTGACTACAGCTGGGATGAAATGTTTGAAGTTTGTGCAGATTGCAGTGGAATGGCAATGTGTGCATGTGTAAGAATGTGTATTCTTACAGTATGCATGTAAACGAGAGATTCTATGGCTAATCTTGAGGTCCCCGCAAACTCTCACATTTTTCATAATTCCTTACCATTAAGCTCAAAGATCATTTTGTTTACAATAGGCTTGTTTGATTAATAGCCTCTCCTTACAAATAAGTGTAAAACAAACTGAGATTGTACAGTCGAGTCTTCTGGCTAAACTAGCTTTGTGACCTGTGCTTTGCTCTAGTTTCCTCTAATCTTTGGTGAGGTGTTTTGTATGTTCAGGTAATGCAATTTTACACACTCAGGAAGTACTATTATACTTTATGCCGGTTGGTTAATGTGAAGGGTGCGTCGTGTTGATTTAAGCAGCTGCGTCGGGCTCGTGCTTTTAGGATAGTATTCTTATCTGATTGCCCCGGAGCGAGCCACATGCAGCTTTACATGCTGGGACAGTGATCTTTGACTTGTAGAAGCAGGTAGAGGCATTTCTTAGGGGTGTTAAAGTTCTGCTTTTCAAAATGATTTCTGGGAATCTGTTTTCCTGAGGCAAATATTATTCAATAGCAGAAACAGGCTAAGGTTAACTGTTTCTAAGACTTATCTTAAGCATGCAAATTCAAAATGATTTACTTAATAAAACATTTCAAGAAATTGCGTTCATTAAAGTCTTTTAATAAGAGCACTCCATCATTGTAGAGAGAGTTGATTATCGGGGCGATGACTCTTGACTAATCCAGCTGTCAGAGAGGAAGGCCATGAGGCTGAACCCAAGTCTTAACTGTTCCCTTTGAGATCACTAGCAGCAGGTGATGTTCTAAAGTGATAATCAGCCTGTATTCAGCCTGTTAAAACACTCTGGCATGAGTGCAGGCTTGCAGACGGTTTGCTGCAGGAGATTGTAATATCTAATTTGGGAAGGAGTTTTAAGATGAAAAGAAAAGCTTTGCTTGTCACACACGTGCGTACGCACAGATTTGATCTTAGAGTGTGCGTACGCTAAAATCCACGGCAACGTTCATATTTATAAAAACGGTCTTTGACATGGAAAAGTACTTACCGCCACGTCAGGGTCTTAGCAGGCGTACACAATTTTCCTTGTGGCAAAGTCGGAGTACTGCAGCTATTTGAACATCTAAGCTGCAATAATAAAAGCGGTGTAC